TTTCTTTTTCCTGCGGGGTGCCAACCACCTGCCGACCAGAAGGTGCCGACAGGCCGAACCGGTCAGCTGGTCGGCCCCTGACCAGTTAGGGGGTGCCAATCGTCGGCTGTGCAACCCTGGCCCAGGCGTTACATTTGGATGTGCCATGGGCAGAGTGACTTGTAGAGGGAGTATACATGTGTACATGGGTTTTAAAGGGGGTTGAAAGGAGTTTTGACTTCCAAGGGCTATGTTTTGGTTCAATTTTTTGCTTTATTTCTTTTTTCCGAATTTACAAGGAATTCTGAAGTGACCCTCAGCCAAAAGTTGGTTGCATTGCAATTCTAGACAACACTTTTTTTTTTTAAATAACTTTTTCAAGTTTTTTTTTTTTTTTTTTTATCTCGGGGCCCCAGAGGTTGCTACCAATTTACTGAATGTAATGCCCGGGTGTTGTGAACCACTATAATGCCGGGGCACTGTATCACGAGCAGTATGGATCCAGTTTTCATAACACCTCCGAGGGTTGTAGTAGTTACGAGACTTCATTCCTGTGGCTGAAGGTGCCGGTTTGAGGCCGTGCGTGCACGGCGGGGTGATGCTTTAAAAAGCACGTTGATCAGTAACTGCTGTGAGGCACCCGTGGAACCTGCGGGAAGTTGGCCTGCCTTCGAGTGACCGGGTTAAGTAGCGGTGGTGAGTCGCGTGCAGTCCGAGTAGAGTGTGTGTTGGTTGCCGTGTCCGTGATGTGATGTTGTGTGTGTGGTGTGAGTTCAAGGACGCTACAGGGGTGGGCTGGATATCACAACTGTTACGGATCCAGTTTTCATAACATCCCAAAGGGTTGCAGTGGTTACGACAACAGCCTGGCAGCTGCCTCAATTATGTAAAATCATAGTAGTTCCTTTCGGTTTCGGAAAAAATGGAATGGTAGAGTCTTCGCTCCTTATTTTGTTCCTGTGGCTAAAGGTGCCGGTTCGAGGCCGTGCGTGCACGGCAGGGCCTGATGCCCTAAAAGCATGTTGATCAGTAACTACTGTATTCGTATACAACGCCCGGGCGTTATTTTCAGGTGAAGACAGTAGGCCTTCTCCCACTGTATGCAAGATTGATCCGCGGAAATATTTGGACATATTTGGGCCCATCGGTACTGATCTGGATGGTCCAGGTCCAGTCTGTGCGGACGTCCGGTTGCTATCCACAATACTGGATGGTCGAGAGCAATCCGAACCAGGTCCAGCCGGACATCCAGATCAGTCCGGTGTACAGGTCCGGCGCACCCATGCTTTTTATCCTAACTAGATTTATTGTGGATTTCTCCACAAAGCAAGAGGTGTTGTGGACAGACAGACCTGTACTCAGGGTTTAGGGTGACTCCTCAATGCTTCAGGTGACTTAGATTGTTACCTGGCCTGTAGCATGCTGCATGCTGTCACAATGTACCTGCCATCAGGGATACTGCCACCCAGCGGTCCCCCGGTATGCTCTTTTTTCTAGTGCTTCATGCGAGTTGTGTCTGTGTGTTTGTGCATTTCAAGTACATAGCAGTTCTCTCTTTCGGAGTTGGGTTCTCGTTTAGTTTCTTTCTTTTCCTTTCTCATTGGGGAACGGGTGCAGTTACTGCAGCCCACACTACATAGCATCACCCAGACCACATGAGAGCGAGAGAGCAACTCAGCATGCTACTTCATGCAAAATTGCAGAATGTTACCCATGCCTCAACAAAGTCATTACTCTATGTTTCGTCACCAGTGACTATCTGACACTATGCTAATTATATTGTCATATCATAATCCTCTGCTCTCAGCGTTTTTATCTTTGAAGAGGAGGGGAGAGTTCAGCCTTGGCTTTTGCTGTGATCTGAGCTCACTGTACTGTTAGATTCTCTGCTGGGTAGATAAGACGTGCTTCTTTCGGCAACTGATTTGCACAAACTAGTGGCCAACGACAAAGGAGTTGAGTTAAAAGAGAAGTAATGGAACAACAAACAAGCCATCGTTTCCAGGTACTCACCAGAATAGGAGTTAGTTCTCCTTCCAAGTCGAGAAGCCCTTTCGTGAAAGCTGCTGCAGACATCTGGGGACAGGCACAGAGGAACAGACATTTCATAAGATCTAAAAGATGTACCACGTGCTAGTAAGCTAGAAAACCATAAAAGTTGATGATGCAACGAACCACTTATATTGTCACTCCGATCACATGCACCATGAGAGTTCACACCAAAATCCACACAGAGATCCAGAGATGGTGAGACCAGATTAGCACAGCTCATAACTTCAATGATTGGTGTATCATACAAAGCCAGAGTTCATGTCGCCAAGCGCTCAACAGCGAAACATCATATGATAATGCAAATTTGGAGCCTGAGTCACCTGGCGCTCACAAGCGCATCCTCCAGCATCGTCGACCAGGTAAGTAACTCACTTTCTTCTCTCTCCCTCTCTCTTTCCCGCTGTGTCCCGCTCCTCTTCTCGGCTTGTATCGCTCAACATCTCTGCCTCACTCTCCCTCTCTCTCTCTCTCACTTGAGGATCAACTATGGATACATCCGCCTCCTGCCCTAGCTCTACTACACTCCACAGCCGCCTGTCTGCCTCAGCATAGTGCTGCCCAACAGGGCCCTTAGCGCTCAGCCACTCGTGATAGCGCACAAGCACCAGCAGCACTTCCACTTTCTCACGAATGAGCAATCTGCCCAAATGAGCCAAGGCCAGTTTCTTTTATTGACTTGGACTGGGGTTTGCTTCACTTGGCCTGTGCTTGACTGGTTATGGGTCTGACTTTGAGTGGTACCGGTCACCCGCTGCCTGTTTGCTTTTGGAATATTGAGGCCCGGTACCTTCCAGACTTTTCTCAGCCTTCTCGGCCTCTTTTAACTTAGGGACCTTTGACCCTGGAATTCAAATTTTGGGCCTGCAGCGTCAAAAAGGCCTTCCAATGACTCCGCCCTTGGCAAGATATGGCTGAAAAACGTACTGCAATAACACTTCACTTGACAATTGGATTTAGGGAAATGTTGCTAAGATTATTGATTTTCCTCTTGCACTGCCTGTCTGCAGCTCTGCATGATGCAAGGCCAGTCAGTCAGTACTCAGGCCTCCGGCCCATCCGTTCACGCACAGAATGACTGGCACGCTTGACCACAGCAGGCAAGTCTCTTAACCACTACAGCGACGGTGTATAGAAGTGGAACCATACCGGTCGTGATATCCACCCCACCCCTGCAAGGTTGTAGTCCTTAATACTCGTTCGCACACACACACACACAGAACACTGCACAGGCAACTGCCGCACACAAGCAATTCTCGTACGCTTTGCTCCAATCCAGCACCAGGGCACCTGTGGAGTTCACTGGCAATTCAAGGGAGCCTAGGCTAACAGTCTCGACATCCAGGTTGTCCGTCGACACAGCCCAGACATCCAGGACTTATCCAGGCTCAATACAGTATCGAAGGGAGGGGGGTTATTTCTGAAAACAGCATTCAAAACATTCATATTATTCAATTTTCTGAAAAGAAAAAGAAGTAGGAAACTGCAAAACTCTCTCTCTCTCTCTCTCTCTCTCTCTCTCTCTCTCTCTCTCTCTCTCTCTCTCTCTCTCTCTCTCTCTCTCTCACACACACACACACACACACACACACACACACACACACACACACACACACACACACACACACACACACACACACACACACACACACACACACACACACATGCACCCCCCCCTTCCCCCAAGAGTCAAAAGCAGTGAGAAAGTCTTGTACAGTGTTATGCAATAAACCACAGTATTGTTGTTTTGTCCTTTTCTGCCCTTCTGGAAATTGGTAGGCCCGTAGGTCTTTCTTTCGTGTGTCCTAGCCTTGGGTCCCCTTAGTCTAGGTTTCCATATAGATGCATGTAGGTAGATCTTGACTGTTTGCCGTAGATGTTTGCTGTTTGGACGGTCAGATAGGTCTGTAGGTGGCTGCTGTGTTGTAGGTCTAGGGAAGTCGGGTAGAAGTAGGCAGAGGCCGACGAGTTTGGGGTTCTTTTGGTTCTTTTCGTTGCTTCTTTTTTTCACAGTCTTGGTGGAGGTCGCGCTGGTTCCCTGATGCGCTATTGTGGGCATGTATGCAGGGCATCTTCTCCACATGCCGCTGGCGGCCATAGCTGGGGCCGGCCAGCTCCATTGGTGACAAAGCTGGGCTCGGCTCCCAAGTGCTGATAAGCGCTTCCTCTATTTGTGTGCTTGTGGGGGTTTGGTCAGCTGCCACTGAAGCTGCACTTTCAGCAGTTCTTCTTCGATATGGCTGATCTTCATCTTCATCGAGTTGCTGTTCTTCTTCATCATCCTGGGAGCTGTGCTCCCCTGCTGAGTGGACACTTCATCTGAAGCGGGCTTCTTGAGTGGTGCAGGGAGGGGTGTTAGATTTAGGAGGGTGTGTCGTGATTGCCACTGATTGGCAGGCTTGATGGGTTGGGTGCTTGCAAGCACCATAGCTAGAGCTTGAGGAAGTAGGAGGAAGAAGAAGACTCCCAATTTTTATTTATTTTTTATTATTTTTTTAATTTAAAAACAGGGCCTTATGGTCCTGGCTCCTTCTATTCTGGGGAGCGTCAGTCCGGTTCCTATTCCACCGGCAAGTCAGAATACACATTACATTGCAGCAGAAACGCACGCTTCCTTCCGTATGGCCGAAGGACCCTTGAACAGCATTGATTGCTCCACCGTTAGGAGGAGGATTGACTGTCAGCTTGCCGTGTCTCACTCTTCCCAGACCTGAAAATCAGTTCTGCCAAATAATCCTGTGTCTCCTAGAAAGAGCTCGCCCATCATTTCTGCATACTTGTGTATCCCCCCCCTCAACTGTCCTGCCTGTGAATCGTGGTATCCCCTGTCCCGTTAAGCCTGCCCCTTTCTTCGAAACGCTGCTAAAACCCTTGACCCTAAACCCTCAACCTGTGGACCTTACTGTCCCTTTCTGGGCTGGAAGTTAGGAATCTGTTCTCTTTGAGTGATTTGGGAGCCTGTATTCCTTGCACMCTTACTTCCAACATCCCTTTGGTCAACTTTCCCTTCCTCGCTCCCCTTTTTCAGTGTCGTACAGTCGTCTCCAGTCTGTTCTTCCATAGATGTGGTCGTATAAGTTCGTAGCTTTCTCTTTAGGAACCTGATCGGGAGGTGCCTTGCCCATGTATCGCATTATTGCAGCCGAACGCTTCTTCCTGAATTTGAGTTGTGCCAGTCCTTCCAGSAGATGCGRTYGTCTCGTAACTCAGCAACTTTCCCGCTTATCAACCATACCTTGCTGAATCTCAGTCTCGCCATCTTTTGTTGTTCCTCATCCTCCGACCATGCTAGTTTGATTTCCCTCCATCTGCAGAGAATTTCAGCTTGTATCAAGGTTTTCGTCTCCGCCCAGATCATCTCTCGTGGGTTGGACACTCTTTCGATCGTTCTGCTGCATCTTTCCTTCCATATGACCCATAGGGTCACCTTCCTGATGAGACCGAACCAAATCTTTTCCACTTTCCGGAGCTGCTCAGGGATGTTAGTTAGAAGGAGAAGTTGGATGGGTTGTTCAGGGAAGGGGGTCGGGAAAAGGGAATCCCAGAGGGCCGAGGCTCTCGCCCAGTAATCCGTTGCCTCCCTACAGAGCAGCAAGCAGTGTCCTATGTCCTCTACCACGTTCTCCGCGCAAACCAGACACCAATCTGAGCTGTTAGGGTCTGAAGCCTTTCGTCTGGCGTGTAACCATTGGTTAACAGGCAGTGCCGCATAGGTTATCAGCCATTGCAGGCTTCTGATCTTAATTGGCCTAATTGATTTGTACTTCTTCCATTGAATTTGTGTGAGATTGTCTGCTTCCTGGCCTAGCAGAGTCTGCCATCTCTTCTTGATGACGGGATCAGGGTCTTTGGTTTTAAGTGACAGCCTGTACCCTAGCTTGACTGTGTATTCGTTAATTGGAATCTTGGACTTGATGTTCTTTGTTTTGTCCGGTGTCCATGCCCATTCTGCTGGATCAAACTCTAAGCTGTGGACTGCCGTGTCAGGTCTGAAAATTGATTTTGGCCAAGAGCCAAGGACTCTAACCTTCCTGAGTAGGAAGAAGTCCATGACTATCGATTCTACTTCGCTGTTGAGGATGGCTGGCATTCTGGAGGTAGTTGTGGGGATCGGGAAGGAGAGGAAGGTGGCCTCAGTGGGTGAGCCTTGTTGCATATGGAAAACTGGAAGGCTCTAGAGGGGGTAGTTTCTTGTATCATAAGTCCCCATTCTCCCGTCTTTCGGCCAAGATGTCCTTCCATTCTTGTGGGATACGGCTGATGATATATGGGAGATTAGGTCCACGTCTGTGACATCCTTTTAGCTGAGAGCTAACTTCCTGTTCCGTCTTCCACTCCTTTCTCTCTTCGCTCCATAGGTGAGCGATGTTCCATATCCCGTTTTTGATCCAGGAGAGCCATCTGTGTTCTAGGGGGAGGGGATTATCTCCTCCGTTTGACACCCATCGGTTCCCAAAGAGCGGTTGTCTGAGAACTTCATCCTTGGACCTAGGTCTATTGGATTTATTGGGCATAAGGCTCCCGAATAATAAAAAACCTGCAAATTGAAAGATCATTCTCCTGCAGATTATTTTTTTTTCTGTGAGAACTCGGGTTTCTTTCCGTGCTAATTAAGTGCTGGTGTTCTGGGGAAGATCCGGAAAGGATTTAATCAAAGATTTTTTTTTTTTTTCGATCGGTTTGCAGCGTGCGGTAAAAGGGAATCATTGTTTGATTTTGCTGTTGATCGTTGCCTGCAGCCTCCCTGAATGCCTATTGACACTAAGCACTAATCTACCATCTGTCCTAACCCTTCTCTAATAATGAGTAAACAACACATCAATTATGATCAGTTTGTTGTTCTGTGTATGAAGTACTATGAACACTAGTGACTAATCTGAATTTCTTTTCTTTTATTTTCTGTGAAAAAATATTCACTGGTCAAGGACCTGAGTCCATATGCGGTTGGGCGTCAGTAACTGGTTTCAGTCCCTGCACCTGCTCAGATCCGTCCTTCTCAGACTAGGGAATGAGAACTGAACTGATGAATGGAAATTGGCAGACCAATCAAGAGTGCCCTTGGATATGCAGTCCTCTGGGTCAGTCTTGTCGATCAATGCCAGTCCTATGAGTTAGTTAGAGAGCAGTCCGTGTAAGTCCGTTAATCTGTTTGAGTTTCAAATCAGTACTCCATTCCATATTGGGCAGGATACTATCAACCTTTGACCGCTGCTACGTTTATTTTATTTGAATTTTGAACGAAAAGAACCGTAAGGAATGCAGCATACTTCAATCAGTCAGGGGACGGAACCCAAATGTCTGATTGAACAGGAAGTTGAGGAGGTGAGGAATGCTGCAGAAGCATCTGGTTCAGAGATGGTGAGGTTGAAAAAGGAGGTGGCGGAAGAAGCCAGAAACCTGCAATCAAACAGCAAGGGGCACACCTCCTGGGAAGACAGGATGACTTCGATGGAGGGCAGACTGTCCAGTATTGAAGCCAAACTTCGAACGGAAATTGGCAGATCAGTCAAGAGTGCATTTTCAGTCACACCGTGACTGGTGGCCACCAATAAGGCTGCAATAATGGCCCACCCATCTCCAGTGGGGCCCTCCACCCGGCTGAGTGTTTTCCCAGAGTCTCGCATGGAACTCGTTACGCAAGACCCCCTGTGTGGTTTAAGGGATAGGAGATAACCCTACAGGCAGAGGAGCGAGTGTGTTAAGACCCCACAGCAGCACAGAAGGGAAAAAGAGTCGTAACTGACACAGAAGTCAAGTTGCAACATGAGTCTGAAGATGAGAGAGGAGTGTTCAGGAGAAGGTAAAAGACTGACAATGTGACATAAAAAAAATGGAGTTTCTGGGTTTCATGGACCTGGGTGGAAGGCGATGGCGGACATCTGTTTCAGAACATACAAAACGAGAGAAGATTGACGAGAAAATTCTATGAAACTATATATGTAAATTACGCAAGTTGACAAATGAAAGAGAAAAAAAGAAAGAGGACGAGTGCAGATTGGGGCTTGTCAGTGGCGTCGATCAAGCTGTGGGTAGGGAGTGAGAAAATCCAGGCAGCAGAAGGCCTTAATTTCCAATGATGGTAGACCATTGGTGAAGAGGCTGGATAAACAGTTCTGAAAGGGCCTTCGTGAAGACGTGTTGTCATCAAACATAACTGAAAGTATATTTATTCATGACAGAGGGATCAAAAGTGGGAAAGCTGAGTTTGTTCCTCAATCAATGAAAGGATGATGGCTGGGGCAATTTTGTTGTCTGTCTGGATAACCTGTGAGGGGACTGTCCAGATGGCTATCTGGATAACACATGATCAATGAATTGAATCAAAACTCATTCATAAACACAATAACTAGCTATTGATAAACAACAGTCTTCTACAACACCTAGCTATTGATAAACAATAGTCTTCAACAACACTAAGGACTGCTTCTTGTTGTATGAACAAAAAGGAGATGAAAAAGAAAACGCATAAACGATTGTGAAAGTAAACACACCTGCACTCGTCCTTCGTCTGAGCTGTAAATCTTGAGGTCATGCCGATATGTGCTATGGAGTCGTAAGAGCCCTGTACCCTCCCCTGTAGCATCAAAGAGACGTAATGAAAATGCGTAAATGATTTTGAAAGTGAACACATCTGCACTCGTCTTTTGCCTGAGGTGTAAATCTTGAGATCATGCCCGTAAGTGCTATGGAGGCGTAAGGGCCCTCTACCCTCCCCTGTCCCATTGAAAAGAATCAAAAGATTAATACGCGCAAGGCACTGTAAGCACGGTAGAGTGTGAACAGTGTCAAGTGATCACGCCGGCAAGAGCTATGGACTCGTATGGAGGTGTGAGAGCCCTGTACCGTCTGCTGTAGCAGTGAAAATATTCATAAGACAAGGCACTGTAAGCAGGATAGAGTGTGAACAGTGTCGAGTGCAGTTTCGTCACCTCAAACGGTTTAAGATTGTCTTGATAATTTAAAACTCACAAGCTTAGTCTGTCAAACCGTTCGATTGATAAATAGACTCCTTTGCCAAGTGACAGGAAAACATAGGTTCATGCTCTATATGAGTCCAAGCAGAGTGTCAGCTTGCAGAATGACGGGAAAACAAGGGATCATGAAAACAGATCACGATTTGAACCATCAACCTTATGGGATCATGAAAACAGGGGATCATAATCTATGTGAATGACAGGAAGAGAAGGGATCAGGAAAACAGAGGATGAACCGTCACAATCAGGATTCAAACCCTCAACCTTATGGGATCATGAAAACAGAGGATCATGATCTAAGTGGGCCAAAGTAACCTCTGATAATACCAGTGCAATGCACTTTGTAGAGAATAGAAAAAGCATCCAGCCGGTATTAAGCCCTTGACAGAAATGGCGAGAGCTCCCAATGAGGAGCAGGATGCTGATGGTATACAACTGTGGCAACCCTTGGCACATGGTCAAACAAACATGGAAGACGCGACCCTGATGAAGGCTATCAATACACATGAGGATGTCACAGGCCAGTCATTTAAAAGCTCGTCATTTTGAGATCAGCACAATACGAGCACTCTGGCCGATACACCTGCCTGACTGCCAACTGTATCCTCTTCGACCATGACGACAAAGAAATAGTACGCAGGTCTCATTCTCGAGTAAGTACCTGGGTACATGTTATTCCTGAAGTCCCGTCCCAAAGTCTCCGCCTGTGATAACAAGACAAGGTTTCATTTTGCCAGAGTCAGCCATACATGTAGCCGTCACAGAAATGAACTTGAGCTTTAGATCTGAGGAGTCCATGGTGATCCACTTAATGCCTACCGCAGAGATAAGACGACTAAAAATGAACCACCTTAAAGAGAAATCCACAAATACGAGATCAAAACGTTGGTGACCAGAGCAGTCACACCGATTTCTCGGCGACCGACCGTTCCACCAGTTGGCACCTACTGGTCGTCTGTTGGTCGGCAACCCGCATTTTTTTTCTTTGGTGGGGTCCATAACGCCCAATTACATCACCAACTCCCCCCCATACCGCCCCCCAACACCCGCATATCGTCCCCCAACACCCTCATACCCCACCCCCATAAGCCCCCATACCACTTGTACCCTCCCCATGACCCCCCCCAAAGAAAATTCCCAAAAGTTTCTCAGTGGGTTTGGGCTGTACTCACCAAGCCCCAAGCTCAGAGTGACAAAACAATCAGTGGAAGGGCTTCTAGTGACTGGTTGGCAGGAAAACAGTCGGCTGTCGGGTTCTACAGTAGGCGGTCTGACAACCCTTTTGGTGACTCAATTCGTATCTGAAGAACTTAAACAGGAGCTTAATCAGCAGGTGCACAGCACAAAAAGTCATAGCAGGATCTCTCTCTTCAGTACCCAAATTCATGCCATGAAATTGAAGGTGCAAAATCAAGTATCTTGGGTATACCGAAGAAGGATACACCCGAGACTCATTCTCCACCGAACCCCTATCAAGGAGCTTGTAGAACGACTTAAGAAGTATAGATTACAAAGGTTATATCCTTCTTATGCCAATAAGAATTATGATTGCGCTGGACCATGGAGATGTATTTGCATTTTACAATGCAAAAACCAATGGCGGCCCAGAAACACAAATAACGAAAGTGAGAGCAGATGACTGTTAGCAAACACATGTTAACCATACATCGCAAAGCTGCACTGCACAAAATTCTCCAAATCTGTATTTTGAACTTTGACACCATTCCTATAAGGTAACAAAGTTCCTTGCATAAAGAATGTTGACCTAGCATTAAAAAAAATTGACCCAATGGTGGGCCCAAGCTCACTTCATTCATTGGGGATAGTGGTGCAACCCAGGCCCTTCTTAGTCAGTCCTCATTGATGCAACTAATGAACTCCTGACAATCTAGAGTTCCCAACTCGAGCTTGATGCAACGGAAAGCTGGAAATGGTCTAGAACAGGTTCAACAATCCAGGCAAAGTTGGTTTTGGGCATGAAATTGATCACATTGGTTTTGCTTCATCTTCACACACACACACACACACACACACACACACACACACACACACACAGAGAGCAATTTTTTGCAGAATCAGAGGCATACATTGGCTTCTGATTTTTTCCAAAGTAAATAAATAATTTAATAAATAAATAATTTAACAAATAAATAATGTCCAAAAAGATTCTCGGGGCAAAAGTAAATGTTTCCATCCCTCCTCTCAGGGGTGGTCACACTTGCAATATTTTGAGAGTGTGAACTCTGTGGTGATTTTTCGCGCTCAGGAATTTTCATTAAAAATTCTGGGGAAAATTGGTGACGTAGATTGAGTGCTGCAATGAACCTCCCAGTTCACCACCAATGAGCGCCCACAACCACACACCATGCAAGAGTGAGTTCACACGGAGTTCACACGAAGTTCACACGAAGTTCGCACTGGAGGCCAGAGAGACGAAGACCAGGTAACACAGCTTTAGAGTTCACTTGCATGCACTCACACCTTCAACTACTCAAGGACCAACTCTGAATACACCCACTGCTAACTCTGCTAACCCCTCTACGGCCTACTACTAACTACTGAGCACTGGCGCAGCTATGGCTGCCTTCTCTCTGCCAGCGCTGGGGCAGCTATGGCTGCTCCCTCTCTCTCCCTCAGGTAGTGCAGCTCCCTGTCTCAGTGCTCGGTTCCTCATAATAGCGCACAAGTGCACCAGCACTTCCACACCTCATGCGAATGAGCAATTTCCCCGAATGAGGAGGCTGGCCAGTCCTTATATTGTCTTGGACTGAGCTTCAACTCGTCCCAGCCTCTGCTTCTTGGGACTTGACTTGGTTCTGGTACCACATCCCCACGGCCTGTTTGCTTCAAAATGTCAGGGCCTGGTACTTTCCCCGAATTTTCATTGGTGGGCTGCTGCTTGGGCCTGTGAGTCACGACTTTTCAATTGTGGATCATGACTTTTGACTGTGGTTTGTGACTCCTGCCTCTGGGACACGACTTCGTCTGGGGAAGTGTCCTTTGCCTGTGGGATTCGACGTTTCAATATGATTCTTTAATAGGAGACGGGCTCAATGACCCTCGACCGCCCACACCTTACTGGCCGGCATTACTCCGATCCTGGAGGAAGATACTTCCCAACAAGACAAACAGACCCAAATCTAAGGATGAAGTACTAAGACAACCGCTTTTCGGGAATGAATGGATAAAAAATGAGGCGGACAACCCTCTCTTTCTAGAACAGAGATGGTTATCCTGGATCAAAAACGGCATCTGGAAAATCGACCACTTATGGGTGGAAGATAGAATGTGCTGGGTAACAGAACAAGAAATCAGCCCCCGACTGAAAGGCTGCCATAGACGAGGGACTGATCTCCAATTCATACTCAGCTGCATCCCGCAGGAATGGAAAGACATTCTGGCAAAAAATGAGCCCTGGAGACCGGGTGAGTGGGGACTAATTATTCAAGAAACAACACCCCCGAGAGCCTTTCAATTCTCTCATTGGCAGCAGGGCTCACGCACTAAGGTCACTTTCCTCTCTTTCCCGATCTCCCCCTCCAACACGGGTTCGCCGAATATCCTGAACTGTGAAGTAGAGTCGTCTGTCTTAGAGTCGTTCTTACTTCGGAAAGTAAGGGTCCTAGGAGCATGACCGAAATCAATATACAGGCCTGACACTACAATCCGCAACTTGGAGTTCGATCCAGCCGAATGGGCGTGGCCGCCAAGCAAGGCCTGCAACATAAAAACCAAAATCCCAATCCAAGACTACACAGTCAAACTTGGGTACAGACTGTCTCTAAAGACCAAAAATCCAGACCCTACTATCAAAAACAGATGGCGGAATCTCGTTGGGCAGGAAGCAGACAAAATCACACGGATCCACTGGGACAAATTTAAACGAATTAGGCCAATCAAGATTAGAAGTCTGCCGTCCTCATTAGAGCTTCTGATTCTTCCTTCCAAGAATTAATAAGAGCAATGCAAGCTTTCCAACTAGCCTCAGAAATGAAAGTGAACTGGAGGAAAACAATAGGCTGGTGGCTATCAGACACCCAACCCCCACTGGAAAGCACGCCAGAAGGAATGCAGTGGGCAGATCCCTCTTCCCCCATGCGCTTCCTGGGCATAAACCTCAGCCTCAAAGGCTGTCACCCTGCCTCGGCAGACACCCTCATGTCCTCAATGATAAGCAGGATGCACTGTTGGCAAGGCGTTCACACCTCACGCTTAGGCAGGGCACTAGCGCTAAACAACTCTATCCTGGCAATGATGTGGTATGTAACCACCATATGGTTCCCGTCCCAGGACTTCCAAAAACAAATACGTAAAAGAGCAGCAGCGTTCCTCTGGACCGGAAACGCGGATAACCAGCACTTCATCCACGAAGTAGCATGGCAAATAGTCACACAACCCAAAAACAAAGGAGGTCTAGGGATCATCGATCCGGCTACCCAATTCCAAGCCCTTCATATCACATGGATTATCAGACTTACCCTTCAAGGAAATCTACCCTGGATACAACTAGCTCTATATCACGTAAGAGGGCTGGCACCCTTCAAATCCCCCCCTAACATGACAGGCCTCTTCTGGATCTTCAATAAACAATGGACCCTCCCGAGAACGAAGAAAGCCGCAGGAATCGAACTAAGGCATGAAGAGAACGGGACCAATGAACACCCTAAAGCATTATGGGAACAAATAATACACACGTGGAGAAAAATTTTCCTGGAAAGCAAGGTCGGCCCAAAGAGGAGGGATGAAGTGCTGAGACAGCACCTATTTGGAAACCCCTGGATTAAGGATGAAAACGGGGAACCCTTCCCACTCAACAAAACAAATTCCAAATGGGGCCTATGGCTGGAAAAAGGGGTATGGCAAATCCAACATCTATGGAGCACAGAACATAACAGATGGAACACAGAACGAGAACTAAGAACGATTCTCAAAGGTAACCACAACCTAAAGCTTAACTTATCACTCATCGTAGACGCCATCCCCATAGAATGGAAGAAACTATTGAAAAATAAGCAACAATGGCACTGGGGTGATTGGGCAGCAACAATACACCAAGGGCAACCGCAGGAGGTGCTTAAAATTTCAGAAACAAAACTTTTCCACGACAAATGGATTGTCGGTTCCATCTTCCCATTAGAAGAACCAGGTAACCCAAGAAGTCTTATCTCCCAAAACCCTAGAGCAGAAGGAGTACTCAGAATAGACAGACTCAGAAGAATTAGAATCATAGAAGGCGAAAGAAACAGAGCATACAAACTGGACACAGCAATACACCACCTAGAAATAGATCCTATAGAATGGTCTTGGAGCACCCCCAGCACGATCCCGACAGCAACCAGACGCCACGCCCTAACAGACTACACACCTAGGCTTGGATATAAGCTATTCAACAAAACCCAACCAATCTCAACAATAATTAAAAAAAAATGGGAAAAACATGAGAGCACTCTAGGAGAATCACTGGTACTCCCTCACTGGCCCACAATCTTCGGCACTAGACCGGTCAAGCTGGCCAGCCTCCTCTGGCTCATAGCATTCAGAGCAGTCCCGGTAAACCAATGGCTAGCCCAGAGAAGAAACAAGGACAGTAGAACGGAACAGTCAACCTGGTGCAAGGCATGCAACAAGCAAGCAGAGGAATCTATAAACCATTGTTTCTTAGATTGTGAAAATGCAAAACAACTATGGTTGGACATAGAACTCT